ATTTCGAGACAACTTCCTCTTTGGCGGAGCGCTGCCGCGGTGACGGAGCTGTCCCCGAGCGCCCCTCGCTGCCCCGGCGCTCCCCGGGCGGGCGGCAGCAGCGAGCGGGGCTCAGCCCTGCCCTGGGCGCGGTCCGCTCACAGCACGTGGGGCTGCCCGGGGATGAGTCTGAGAGCCTGGCACCGCCCCTGGCAGCCGCCCCGGGCCTGGCACCGCCCCTGGCACCGCCCCTGGCAGCGGACCCGGGCCTGGCACCGTCCCTGGCAGCGGCCCCGGGCCTGGCATAGTCCCCGCTGTGCTGCCAGCCGTGCCAGACAGGGACAGTCCCGGCGCTGCTGCCGCCCAGGGAGGCAGGGGGAGCCTGGATACCCACAGATCCCAACAAACAGCGTCGCCCCGGGACACCGGCAGTCCCTCCAAGGACTCCCCGTTCCAGGCACGGTGTTTGTGCCCCTGGCAGCGCCTCCCGCCCGCAGCATCTCCCACATCTGCTTTTGCTCAGAGCCCGCTGCCAGCTCGGGCCACAGCCTGGGCAGGGTTGGAATGCGCTCTCGGAGCAGCCTGACTGTCCTGACCGAGCCTGGAGCGGGTCTGTGCCCGGCACGGCGTCATTGTCACCCCAATGGGACTCAGGGGCAGCAGAGCAGGGCTGAGCCCCGGGCCCAGGTGAGGCTGCTCAGGGCCGGGGCTCCAGCGGTGCCCTGGCACTGCCTGCACAGCGGGACCTGTTTGCAGGCTGGCACAGCCCCGGGCTGGCACACGGGACACGGCAGGGCTGCGGGGACACGGCAGGGCTGTGTAGACATGGCAGGGCACACGGCAGGGCGGGATGAGCCCCCAGCTGTACCTACAGCAGGGTCTGAGGTACCCAGCTTTGCTGGAGGAATGGTTTGGGTAATAAAATGTTTCTGGAGCGAGCGTGGGAGCCGCAGCTGACGCTGCCTCACTTCCCATACCGTTTGCACGAGGAAAGCCTTAGGTACCGCTCCATACCTGGGGCCAGGTTTAAAAATAACCTCCTTCCTTCCTGAGCAGGCAGAAAGGCAGCAGGAGGCAGGGAGGGCCAGCTCCTCTCGCTGCGCTGGTGCCAAACCCTGCATCCCTTCCCCAGCCCCGCCCTGAGCTGCCCAAGGGCGGGCAGGAAAGCTCCGGGAGCGGCAGCAGCGGTGGGAACATCCTCGTTCCCCTGCCCTGCGCTCCTTCCTGGCGCTGCCGTGCACCAGGGGCACGGACACGGGGCCCTCGGGCAGGCGGGCACGGCCCGGGCACACGCGGGATGCTGTTTGTCCCTGCCTGGGTCACATCACACACGGGACACTGTCTGTCCCTGCCACTGTGAAACACAGATGCTGTCTGTCCCTCCTGGGGTCATACACGGGACTCTGTGTGTCCCTTCCAGGGTCACAATTAGCACCTTCAAGAGCCCAGGGGTCAGTGGAGCGCTGTCCTGTGCCTGTCCCCATGTCCTGATGCCGCTTCTGTCTGTCCCTCCACAGCAGGAGTTTCCCAGCATACAGGAGCTGTGGCACGGGCAGGAGCTCCTGCTCTCCCCTGTTTTCCATGCAAATTCCAGAGGGAAGAGGCTCAGGAGCTGCCTCTCTGTCCCCTGTTTTCTATTCAAATTCCAGAGGGAAGAGGCTCAGGAGCTGCCTCTCTGTCCCCTGTTTTCCATGCAAATTCCAGAGGGAAGAGGCTCGGGCAGGGCAGGGCAGGGCTGGGCTGGCCCCACACTTGGCACAGGACAGGAGGAAGGGCTGAGCTCCGGCTTTGCTGCATCCCTCACTTGCCCCCAGAGGTCTGCACTCCTCCCCTCCCCGCTGGGCACTGCAGGCCCCAAACCTTCACCATCCCCTATTTGACCCCAGAACTGGGCTCTGTCTCCTGCACAGAGAATGGGGAGGCCAGAGAGCTCCTCAGACACTGCCCACAGCACACGCCCAGCACCTGCTCATTGCCACCAAATTTGGGAACCAAACCCAAAAATCCATTGCACTGAAGGGTCCTGCTGGGACCCCTTCCCCTCCTGCCTTTTCCATCTGTCACAGCACCCTGAACCCTCCTCCTGCTGTAGGGCCCCATCCTCGTGGCAGCCCATGGAAGGGGCACCAAGAGCTTGGTTCCCCACATTTTCTGATGTCGTTAAACACCAAAACACAGCAGGCAGAAACCCTCAGAGCAGCACAGGGAACTGCCAAATTCCCCCAGATAACATCAGCTCCCGGCCACAGAGAGAGGAAGGGCCAGGTGTGACCCTGCTCACACAAAGCCCTCAGTCAGAGGACTAGGGAAAAAAAGGGAAGGACCAAAGTGAAGCAGAGAAAGAACCTCTTGTGTGGCAGTTGAGGGACAAAGCAGCCCTTTGTCCCTGTGGGCTGGGCTCTGGGGTTTACAGGTATTTTGAGCCCTACCTGGTCAGTTCAGTGTGTGTGGGGGGTGCAGGGAGGTTGTGAAGCAGCTGGAATCTTCCTCCTATGGAAAAACTGTCTCCTGAAGGGATCTCCAGATACCCCGAGGGCTGGAGCCCCTCTGGAGCAGGCTGGGAGAGCTGGGGGTGCTCAGCTGGAGAGGAGAAGGCTCCAGGGAGAGCTCAGAGCCCCTGCCAGGGCGTGAAGGGGCTCCAGGAGAGCTGCAGAGGGACTGGGGACAGGGGATGGAGGGACAGGACACAGGGAATGGCTCCCACTGCCACAGGGCAGGGATGGATGGGATATTGGGAATTGTTCCCTGGCAGGGTGGGCAGGCCCTGGCACAGGGTGCCCAGAGCAGCTGGGGCAGTGCCAGGGGGGCAGCAAGCAGGGCCAGCGGGGCCAGGGCTATTCCTCCAGCTCCAGCCCCATCCCAACCCTATCCCCATCCCAAACCCCAGCCCAAATGCCAGTCCCAATCCCAGCCCCAACCCCATCCCAAACCCCAGCCCAAATGCCAGTCCCAATCCCAGCCCCAGGGGATTTCCATACATTTTGCAAGGAACAGGTCACAAACCAAACACTTCTCATGCTGTGGCTCTATTTTCTACCCTGGCCTTCAGCCCAGTTCTATTCCTAGTCCAGCTCCAGCAAATATAGAAGGTGAGGGGATCTGGGGAGAGGGAAAGCCAAGCTGGCAGCATGGTGGCATTAAAGCTGCCTTTTCCATTTCTCTAAACTGACTCATCACCAATACTTTTCTCTCTCTCTCTCTCTTTTTTTTTTTTTTTTTTTGTCTTGAACAAAATCATATTAAGGGGATAAAAATATGGTAATAATGAACCATGAAGTGTTGAAGTCTGGGCAGCACCTCAGGCTGTCCTGTGAGGGTGGCAAACACCATTTCACTGATAAAGACTGTGCAGGTTCTACCTGCAGGTTAATCCCAGGTCACCCACCTGAGCAGGACACTCTGGAGCACCTGAAGGAAAAACCCTGGTGGCTGTCATGGGTTCTGGAATTGTCTCTGCCAGTGACTCGGAGTCTTTTCCTGCTCCCAGGTCAGCTCTTCGGGGGAGTTTTGGAGCCTCCTCCCCTGCCTCCCTCCCACCCAGGAATTTCTTCACCCAAACACTGCTCCTGTACTGGAAATAAATCAACTTTTAATATTTTACAATTACTTTAAAAGTTCTCTGCACAGTATTTTACAGATCAGCACAGAATTTACACAGATTTGCTGAGGCTACACAAAATGTACAAAAACCACCCCGAAGAGCCCTGGAATTCTCTCATTTCCAGGAAGCATCAGAGGTCAGAACCTTTGCCAGGATTGTGAGCCCTGGAGTTTGGGCTTGGTTTTCCGGATGGGAATTCTGTTCTCCAGGACTGCAGTAGGGCCAGCTGAGCCCAGAGGGATTCGTGTCCTGGCATGGATCCCTGGCATGGAATTTGCCACAGATCCCACTGAGCAGTGTTTGACAGGACAAGGTGCTGGTTTAGAGCCCTGAACAAGAACAACCCCCTACCAAATTCCAGCCCCAATGGGGAGAACACACCTCAAACCTGCCTGGGGAGGGCAAAGGCAGAGAGAAAACCCTTTGGGGACCTCGGTGCTCAGCCCTGGGCCAGGCCAGGCTGTCCCCAGCCATGGCACAGTGGGACAGAAGGTGTCCAGCAGCCAGCAGAGCTGGGAGCAGAGCTGGGAGCAGAGCCAGGGCACAGGAGGGGTCCCACAGGGCTGGCGGAGTCCAGCAGACACACCTGACCCCACTCCTTGGAGCCCCAGGAGCTCTGGCCCCTTCCCTGGCAGGCTGAACCCCAGGTGACGCTGCTGCTGTGCCACCAGGCTTGGGGACAGCGCCAGGAGCTCACCAGGTCCTGCTCCCTGCAGGATCCCCCTGCATCGACCCCACTGTGGCTGAGCCCTGCAGCCCCCAGCAGTGCCAGGGGTCCCTCCAGACACATCCAGGGGACACAGGACACTGGCATCAGCTCCTCAGAGCCTGCAGGAGCCCTTGTGCTGCCAGCACCGCTACAATCCCCAAAAACTACCCAAAACCAGAACATTGGGATCAGCTCCTTGGATTCTGCAGCAGCTCTTGTGCTGCCAACACTGCTACGATCCCCCAAAACCACCCAGAAACAACCTGAGGCTTTTCCAGTCTTATTTCTTCACTGATAGCATCAGGTTACCCCTAAATATCCTCAAATATTGCACCTTTCTGTACCTGAAGCCTCGCAGAGAGGGGGAAGAGGTTGGAATGCTCATGGGGGGGAGGATCTCAGATCCTGCTGTCACTGGCAGGTGTCACTCGCTGGGTTTGGAGCTGGGTGTCTCTCCAGCAAAGGTCCCCCTGCAGTGGCCCTAAGGCTGTCCTGGTGCTTTCCCCAGTCCTCCCCTCCCTGCTGGGAGTCCAGCACAGATCCTGATGGATTCCAGCAGCTGCTGAGGGCTCAGCCCTGGGCTGGCTCTGGCACACTGTGTGCCACACAGTGCTGGGGGCGGGATGCACAACCAGGGGCTGGACTGGGAGTACGGCTCAGTGCTGGAACCCTGCAGGAATTGGGAATTCCTCTCCTGGCACACAGTGCTGGGAGCAGGATGCACGACCAGAGGAGTACAGCTCAGCGCTGGAACCCTGCAGGAACTGGGAATTCCTCTCCTGGGGGCACAGGAAACACATGGACCCACCAGCAGCTGTCCTTGCCCTGGCATGACCTGTTGCACTCAGTTCCCTGGGATCCCACACTGCAGGATCCCTGCTCTGCGTCCCTGCAGGACACCCCACCTCCAGACGGGAAGGGAAGCCTTGAGAAACCTGTCCCCATCCCAGGAAACTGTCCTGAGCATCCTCGCCGTGTGACAGGTGAAACACCAGCAGGACAGGGGTCATTTCACCAATACCAGGGCTCTGTAATTGCCCTGCACTGACGGACACCCGACACCACTGAGCTGAGGATGTTCCTCTCCCCAAATATCCCCATGAGCTCACCCTTCCCCACACCCCACCTGGCAGGGAATATCCCTGTCCTTGCCCTGCCCTCCCAGCAGGTGCTGGATCTGCTGACCCACAGGAACCTCCTGAGGAACCCCCAGGGACAGCAGAGCACAAGGATTGATCCAATTTCCCGAGGAGGGGCTGAGCCTGGAGCAGCAGCTCAGCCCCCACGGCGACACCACAGTGACAGCACTGCAGGAGCCTGGAGCAGCAGCTCAGCCCCCTCAGCGACTCTGCAGCTGCAGCAGCTTGGGGACCAGCTGGGCTGGGTGTCCTTTCCTTCTCCTGAGCCTGGGCTGGTGTGGCACAGTCTGCCCTGCAGGGACACGGCTCCTCTAGGGCAGTGCCCCGCTGAAGGTGGCAATGGGCAAACACAGCAGGGACTGGAACTCAGAGGGGTCCTGGGGAGCCTCGGGGGAGCCCCTCGGTGCCAGGGGGTCGCAGTCCCTGGGCTTGTAGCACACGGAGATCTCACACCTGCAGGGGAACAGCAGAAAACAAACCCTGAGTGAGATGGGGGCTGAGAAACCCTCAGGGACAGCAGGAATGGGGCTGAGAAATGAGCAGGAATGGGGCTGAGTGCCCAGCAGGAACAGGAACAGGGCTGAGAGCCCAGCAGGAACAGAGCTGCTGGCATCTGAGCAGGAGCCTCCATCCCAGCTGGGCTCAGAGCCTGGGGCTCCCATGGGTGGGTCAGGCTGCCCCATGGCAGCAGCTCTGGCTGCAGCTCCCACCTGGTGACGCTCTGCAGGATCTTCTGCTCGTCCTGGTCCAGGCACACGGCAAAGGAGGACTGCACCCCGATGATCTGGACCTTGTCCACTTTGATCTGGGACACGCTGATCTGCTGAGAGGAAAGGCTGGAGTGAGGGAGCTGAGAGGAAAGGCTGGAGTGCCTGGGCTGGGCAGGGCAGCTGGGGGCAGGAGTGGGGCAGCACCAAAGGGATGTCCCAAGAGCTGCTCCCTCCAGCCCTGCTCCCCTCCCATCTCCCCAGCTGTAAAACCTCCAGGGCTGCAGTTACCTGATTGAAACTCTTCTTGGATTTGGAGTTCTGCCTCTTGACCACCTCAGTCACGGTGAGGTTGAGACATTCTGTCTTGGAGGCTGCAACAGAAGGAAGCTGCCATGGGGCTCTGCTGGGACCCAGGAGGTCCCTGCACCTCCCAGAGCATCCCAGAACTGGAGTTCCAGCAGGATCCCAGTGCTGGGGGAGGCAGAGCAGTCCCAGCTTTCCTCCCCTGCTGCTGAGTGTGCTCTGCAATTCCAGCTGCTTTCCAAACACAGCCGGACAGAACATTTAACCACCCTGGGCTGCAAACAGGAGAAAATCCATCACCCATCACTGTGAGGAAAGGCTGTCTGTCCCTCCACAGCCTCTCCTGAGCCCATCCGGACATAAATCAAAAGTTTTGAGAAAGATTCTTCTTTTGAATGTGGATGAAAATATTTAAATGTAATGCAGAAGTCTGCAGTTTAAATATCTTCAGTTAGACATCTATATTTTAATATATTTATGCTATAAGGTGATTTTATGAGTACCTAGCTTGTTATTTCTTCTTGAAATAATTTAAGTGCCTTTAGGATTTTTGAATGTATTAGAAATGTTCTTAAAGAAAATATTTCAGTATGGGTGTAGTTTAAACAATTACAACTATATTCCTGTTACTTGAACAAGCTGCTCAGGGTGGGCAGGGGCCGCTGCTCCGGGTGGGCTGCAGCAGCTCTGGTGCCTGGGGTGACAGTGACATCCCGTGGCCAAACTGCGGAACGGGAGAGCCACAGGGCCAGGGGGATGGGGTTCCTCTTGGAGGGACGGAGATTCACAGAGAGGGCTCTCCAGAGAGGAGCTGAGGGCGCCCCTGATGCCAGCCCTGAGCCAGAGCAGGAACATCCAACGCAGCATTCACAGGGGGTGAGAGATCCATTCCTGATGCTTTTCTCTCAGGATTGGCTCCAGGGATGGGCAGGGGCAGGAGGGACAGTGGGGAACTTCATGGAGCATCAGGGATGTCTCCTGGTTGGTACAACACCCTGATTATCCCACTGACAAACACCTGCCAGGCACAGGCACGAGAGGAAAAAGGACCAAACCCCCTCAGCTGTCCCAGAACTGGACATGTCTGATGGCCAAAGCAGCTGCTCTTAAACAAGAACCACCCAAATACACCATGGACCCAGAGCCTTGGAGCTTTTCAAATGGATTAATTGTAAACCTGATTAGAGCAAAGGTTCTGAGGGCAGGCCAGGTGCTGGGAGCTGTGTGTGAGCCGCAGGAAGGGCAGCAGGCTGCAGCAGCAGCTCAGCAAGGTGTGCTGAGGGGAGCATGTGGGGCAGGCTGCTGTGGATGCAGGAGCAGCACCTGGCCCTGGTCCTGCCTCACCTGGAGAGTTTTACCTGCTGCTCCTCTTTGATAAGTGCTGCTCTGGAGAACACCACTGCCCAGTGACCAGCCTGTGTCTGTGCCATCCCAGCCCCATTCCTATGGATGCTTTTCCAGCTGGCAGCTTTGGGACAGTGGCACAGGACATGTCCTTTGTCCCTGAGTTGATGCTGAGGACTGGCACACACCCAAGGACCACAGCAGAGCTGAGGGAACACCAGAGACTCCCACGTGTCTCCTGCATTCTCACCTCCCTCATTTTCCACCAGGAGATCCACAGGGTTCCCTGCCCCCCCGGTGCCCCCAGCCTCCCCTGGCACTGCCCCCCCGTACCCACCGAGCTCCTCGTGCCTCCTGCAGGCCTTGCTGAGGTTGACAGATGTGCAGACCTTCTCCACATCGTTCCAGTGACTCCTGCCACTGGCAGCTGTCTGCAGGGAGCAGCCAGAGCCCAGCAGAGAGAAGCACACAGCTTAGAAAAGCCTTTCAGGTCACATCCAACCCTAAATCTAACCCTGCCAAGTCCTTAAGCACTAACCCCACATCTTTTAACATCCCCAGGGACGGTGACTCCACCACTGCCCTGTGCACCTGTGCCAAGGCTGGAAAGCCCTTTCAGTGAAGAAATATTCTCTAAAGTCCAATATAAACTCCCTGTGGTGCAGCTTGAGGCTGTTCCCTCTCCTCCTGTCCCTGTTCCATGGGAGCAGAGCCTGACACCTCCTCCCTGGCTGTCCCCTCCTGTCAGGAGCTGTGCAGAGCCACAAGGTCCCCCCTGAGCCTCCTTTGCTCCAGGCTGAGCCCCTTCCCAGCTCCCTCAGCCCCTCCTGGGGCTCCAGCCCCTTCCCGAGCCCCGTTCCCTGCCCTGGACATGCTCCAGCCCCTTCCCCAGCTCTGTTCCCTGCCCTGGACACGCTCCAGCCCCTTCCCCAGCTCTGTTCCCTGCCCTGGACACGCTCCAGCCACTCCATGTCCTTGTCATGAGTGTCCCAGAGCCGTCCCCATCCCTGGAGGTGCCCAGCAGTGCCAGCACTGACCTTGCTGTATGCAATCTGTAGTGTCAGTGGGATTGCTTCCCTATCTCCATCTATTCCCAGCCTCTTGCTGCCTGGACCTGCAGGAACAAGGAGCAAACATCACACAGGGGTTTTCACCCCCAGCCCTCCCTGGCACACCCAGGACTGCAGGAAGGGGAAAAGGGCCTGCTGAGCACAGCTGAGGGCCAAAAGGGCAAAACAGAGAAAAGGAGGCTTAAAAGCTGCAGAAAGCGAAGAATCCAGAGAGGAATTACAACACAAAACCACTCAGCAGAACTGAAAGTGGCTCTGGCTGAGCCGGGGCAGAGGGGTCAGAGCTCAGGGAAGACACAGAGCAGCAAAGGCCGCAGTGCTCTCCCTGCTCCTGTCTGCTCAGGCAGGTTCCTGCCCATTTTACATTAGCCTGGAACACTGGGGTGACACTCCCTAACTGTTCTTTTCTCCTTGGATAAGTTTTTGCAAGTGTGAAGGAGTGCCAGACAAGCCAAGGGGAAGCATTGGAATCAGCACTGATGGTGTTTCATGGTTTGGGGGGAAGAGCTCTTTGCTCCAGCCTGGTTTTGGGGAGCAGGGGGGCACACGGCATAGAGGGGAATTTTATGGGCTCTGCTCCGAAGGACAAGCAGAGCTCACACCAAACCAGCTGGTTGAAGCCCTGAGGAACGCGTTCGGGTGCAGTGCTGGGGCTGGCCATGAGGTGTCTGTGTGAGCTGCATCTCACCAGAGCATCCCGGGCTGGGTGCCCGAGGAACTGCAGCCAGATGTCCCTGCCGCTGCTTCTGCTCTCTTAACAGCACCAACGTTACAAATTTGTGACATAAAACCACAGAAGGCTCCAAGCACACACACACAAACCTAGCTTTGCCCAGTAAAACAAGGAGATGAAAAATGGGATTTTATCAGTGACACTTCTGGACAGTGCACAAAGAGCAAGCATAACAAGAAAAGATAAAGAGCTGCATTTGGCAGGTGCTGAGGAGAGGAAGGAAACGGGCTTGGAGGTGTTTTATTGTAAATCCATTCTAGAGTTCAGAGCAGCACAAACAATCAGGCATTGCCATGGTTGCACTCCTGGAGGGAATACAAACTGGGATGTTTCTCTCCCAAAACCTGTCTGGATCCTTGCTCAGCCGGGCTCGGATACTCCCTTCCCTTCCCCTTCCCTTCCCTTCCCTTCCCTTCCCTTCCCGAACCTTCCCTTCCCTGAACCTTCCCTTCCCTGAACCTTCCCGAACCTTCCCGAACCTTCCCTTCCCTGAACCTTCCCTTCCCTGAACCTTCCCTTGCCAGGTTTCAGCCCCCCAGGGCAGCTGGGGGTGCAGGAGCAGTCACAGACCTGAGGCCTTGATGGCCCTGGTGGCTGCTGAGTGCCCCAGCTCCAGGGAGTGGATGAAGACCTCGGTCCTCTTCTCGCCCCCGATGAAGGTGAGCTGCCAGGGGACAAGAGGGGACACGTGGGGGTGAGGGGACCACGCCCGGCCAGGCAGCCCTCACCCCTCTCAGTCCTCGGGAAATGGGTCAGTTTGGGAAAATCGTTCCCTGTTCCCAAAGCACCTTCCAGCTGCAGCCTGGGGTGGTGCCTGCCTTTAGCTGGACCCCAAAACAACCCAAACCCCTCGATTTCACTTAAAACTCCACTGCAAAAAACCCCAATGAGCCACCAGCAGGGTCTGGGAGCTGCTTTGGGAGCACAATTCCCGTGTGGCTCTGCTCACCAAGCCCTGTTTTGTTCCCAAAGCAGGGGCTGCACCCCAAATTCAGCCTTCTCCACCACAGCTGCCCCAGGCACACAGCAAGGTGGGGAGAAGTCACCTCAGGGAGGGGCTTGGTTTGGGAAGCAGAGCTCTGGAGAGATTCCAGCGACCTGGAAAAGCTGGCAGCAGTGCCAGGCACTGCTTTGTGCATGGGGAAACGTGCTGGGCAGGAAAACTGCTCATGGTCAGGGCAGGAGCTGCTCTGAGTCTTGAGCCAGGAGCATCAGGCAGGGCACCAGGGACAGCCAGGGGACTCAGAGGGGACAGAGCTCTGTGTCAGCAACACGTGGTGGCCGTGCCACACCCCCAGAGCTCCACAGGCAGCTCCTGGGCCGTGGCACAGCCAGAGCCCCCCTCCTTTCCCTGTGCCCACCTCGGTGGCACAGCCAGAGCCCCCTCCTTTCCCTGTGCCCACCTCGGTAGCACAGCCAGAGCCCCCCTCCTTTCCCTGTGCCCACCTCGGTGGCACAGCCAGAGCCCCCCTCCTTTCCCTGTGCCCACCTCGGTGGCACAGCCAGAGCCTCCTCCTTTCCCCGTGCCCACCTCGGTCTGGTAGAGCTGCAGCAGCACGGGGCGCGAGGCAAAGCGGCAGTAGTAGAGGATCATGTCTGCCAGGATAGGCAGCTGCTCCTGGGCATCCTCCTGGGGCTCAGCCTCGGGCTTGGCACACTGGGGTGGCACAACGGGTCAGAGAGGTGATGGGGCAGGTGGCACAATGGGTCAGAGAGGTGATGGGGCAGGTGGCACAGTGGCTCAGAGGGGTAATGGGTAGGTGGCACAATGGGTCAGAGGGGTGACGGGGTAGGTGGCACAGTGGCTCAGAGGGGTGATGGGGTGGGCGGCACCTCCAGCCACATCTGCCCACCCACCCCGCTGGGGACGGGAACCTCCTGCTGACCACCAGGAGCCCCCCCTCCATCCCATGTCCATATGGCACAGCAGAAGGTTCTCCAGACAGCTCCCCAGCTCCCTGGAGAAGGGGCACACCCTACCCCGCCCCTGGCACACACGCACCTGGCACAGGACGCCCATGGGCAGGCTCATCAGCCCCAGCACGTTGCGCTCGTACCAGGGGTCCAGCAGGCCGAGGTAGTGGGAGATATCGTTGGTGCTGCTCTCTGTCCCGGCTGAGGAGGGGTCCTGGAACCGACACTGGGGTCACCCCAGGGCCCCCAGCCTGCCCCAGCTCCCACAGCACCCCCGGGAATGGGCTCACCCACCTGTGCCCGGGGCGGGGGCTCCCCCGGGGACGCCGAGAGGTGGTGATGAGGATGAGGATGATGATGAGGATGCATCTGCGGGGTCGATGGAGCCGCGCAGCTCCTCTTGACGGGCACGTAGAAGAACTGCAGCCTGAAGTACCGTGTGAGGGAGGGGCAGGAGCTCTCCTGGAGCCTGACGAGGAGCAGGGGCTGGGCTGAGCCAAGGGGCCGGGCCGGGCCGGGCAGGGCGGGCACCGCGGCCCCCTGGCTCACCTGGGGCGGGGGCCCACCTGGGGAGGGTGCTCACCTGAGGCGGCTGTAGGCGCGGGCCACCTTGCCCGAGATGCGGTCCGAGCCGAACACCACCACGCGCAGCGTGCCCGCCTTGCTCTCCTCCTCGTCGCAGCTGAGGAAGGGGCGGCGGGGCAGCCCCAGGGGCCGGGCCCCGAGCGGGGCGGGGCCGTGCCGGGCCGGGCCGTGCTGCGGCAGCGAGAGCGCGCGGCGGGAGCGCGCGGGGACGCGCGGCTGCGCCGGGGGCGCGCACAGGCTCTCGGCGCGGCGCAGCGGGAGCGAGCACGGCCCCGGGCACTCCCGGCGCTGCACCAGCTGCTGGCCCTTGCTCTTGAGCAGTCTGTAGAGCCGGTTGGTCAGCGACTGCCGCTGCTTGGGCAGCTCGGGCCGGCCCGCCGCCTCCACGGAGCTCTCGTCGCTGTCCTCGGCGTAGCCGCTGTCCATGCAGTCCTTCAGGCTGGACACGAAGGACTTGAGGGACTTCCTGGAGACCACGGTCAGCTCCGAGAGGGACTCCTTGGGGGAGGCGAACAGGGACACCCGCGGGGGCCTGGAGCCCTCCTCGGCCAGCACGGAGTACACGGAGTCACCGGGGAGGGCACAGAGCGGCGCCAGCAGCGAGTCCTGCCCCGGGGAGCCGCCGTCCGTCTCCACATCCTCCTCCTCCTCGTCCTCATCCTCCTCCTCGTTCTCCGAGGCCAGGGGCTCGGCAATGCTGCACTCCTTGCTGAGGACATCGTTGAGGATGTCTGAAAGCGACCGGAGGGAGGAGGTGTCAGCCACGGGCTCCAGCAGAGCCCCTGCAAAGGTGGTGAGCCCAGACACCACTGCCACTCCCCCTGGCCAAAGCTCTCCTGCACCCTGGTGTCAGGCAAGGAACTGGAAACCTTCTCCCCAGTGGTTTTACATTTCCAATAAAGGCTCAGATGTAATGCAAAGAAAATTGTGTTTCTCTCCTCGAGGTTCTGGCTGGGTTCTCAAAAGGCAAACTCCAGCTTGGCTTTTGCTTCTTCCCACCCAGCTTCCAGCAGATCCTCACGTCTGATCCAGGTTTAATGTCAGCCAAGCCAAGCCTTAGGCTGACCAAACCCCCCTGACCCACCCTGGCTCCCTGTCAGGGCTGGCCCTGAGCTCTGCTCCCCCTCGCTGGGGCCAGCAGGGAAGGGCACGGAGCCTTCCCAAGAACTGGCAAGCTCCTTCCAGGAATGGGGAAGCACCAGCTCCGCACAAGGGGAACTTTCCACTTCTCCAAAACTGCCCCGGGGCCCGGCTGGGAGCTGGGCCAGGGCCCTGACTCACCGAAGTTGTCCTGGTCCCAGCTGTAGGTGTAGCAGCGGGCGGGGGGAATGGGGAAGGGCTGCAGCTTGCGGGGCTGGGCCTCGCCTGCAGAGAGAGGAGGGACAGCAGCTGGTTGGCAGGGTCCCCAGGGCCACCCTGCCAGCTCCCCTGGCTTGGGAGGTGCCACCCACCCACCCCCGTGTGCTTTGGGCAGCCCAGGGCACAGGGGCTGCTGTCCTTAGCTCAGGACACGGGGACACTTCACACCTCCACGGCCGCCAGATGTCACAGCTAGAGCCAGGTTCTGATTTAACGCTCTCATCTCATCCCTCAATGTTCAAATGCTGGACAACTCATTTGGTTGCTGTTTAAATGACACCACTTGTGCCTCAGGTGTGGTTATTGAACAGGACCTGGGGCGGTGCTTTTCTATCGCAATCCTTGCACTGGGCTGAGACTCTGCAAAACTCTGCAGCTCCCGGCTGCTGCAGGGGCTGAGCCGGCAGAAAGCCCCGGGGAGGAGAGGCAGAGTGAGGGATGCTCACCTGCGATATCAGGGAGGGAGGCAGGGTGGAGGATGCTCGGCAGAAAGCCCCAGGGAGGGAGGCAGGGTGGGGGATGCTCACCTGCGGTATCAGGGAGGGAGGCAGGGTGGGGGATGCTCACCTGCAATATCAGGGAGGGAGGCGGCCCCGGCGAGGTCGCGCAGCACGGCCTGGAGCCGCTCCCGGGCCAGCGCGGGGTCGGGACTGGCGGCCGCCGCCTCCTGAGCATCGGCAGCGCTGGCGTAGAGCTCCGAGAGCTCCTCCAGGGGCTTGGACTGCAGAGCACAGCCAGGGGACACGGTCAGGGGGTCCCTCCAGCGAGCAGCATCATAACGGGGGACTCTGTCCCCACCTCCCTCAAGTCCCCCCAAACTTTTCCAATGAAAATAAAAATTACTTTGAAAACACCCCAGGGGGTTCCTTCATGGTTTTTTGCCTCTCCCCCAAGTGTTTCTCTGGTCAAACAAACACTTTTGCTGATTTTCAAATCTGGGGCCCTTCCTCTCTCCACTATGGGATGGGAAAGGAGTGGCAGAGTGAAAGGGCAGAGAGCCCTCTGCACACACCTCACAAACACTTCAGACCTCAGGTCTAACCGGAGAAGGGGAAAACGCGCATTTTTCCTGCAAGAAGCGTTACCCAAATTCTTTTCCCTTGCCAAGCCAGTGGTGCTTTGTGTAGGAAATGAATGCAGCAGCCCCTGCATGGAGCTGGCTCCTGTGGCAGCCCAGGGTGGGCACTGCCCTGCCCACCTTGAGCACCTGGTGCTGTCCCTGCCCACCTGAAGCAGCTGCCCCAGCCCACCCAGAGCAGCTCCCCCAGCCCACCTTGAGCAGCCGGCCCAGCCCGTCCAGGTCGCAGCGGGTGCCGAAGGTGGCCTGGTAGAGGTGCTGGAGCAGCAGCAGCAGCGTGGAGTGCTGGGCGGGCTCGCTGGAGCTCAGCCTGCGGGCGATGGACACGAACTCGCTCTGCACCTCTGAGTGGTTCAGCAGCAGCACCGTCCTGGGGACAGGGACACGGCTCAGGCCGGGCTGTGGCACACAGACAGCCCTGGAGCCCAGCCCGGCCCAGCCCAGCCCAGCCCGGGCCCAGCCCAGCCCCGGAGCCCATCCCATCCCATCCCATCCCACCCCACCCCATCCTATCCCACCCCACCCCATCCCATCCCAGTCAGCCCAGCCCAGCCCGGCCCATCCCCACGGGACACAAGGGAGCCCGGAACATCTCCCTCCTGAAGCTGCAGTTCTGAGGAGAAGCTCTAAGGACAGCCCAGGTCTGTTCCCAGGCTCATTTTCCTCCTTGCAGATGAGGGCGGCAGGGAAAGGCTCAGCCCCGAATAAGGATCTGAGTCTGCCTGCTCAGAGCTGCAGGGCTGGGAGGGGCTCCCTCTGGCTCCTGTTGGGGTGGTGGCTCCCAAAATCATGGATCACAGCCTGTCCCACTGCTCTCCAACACGTGCAGCTCCCAGGGGAGGGGACTTTGCCTTCCCGACATCTGCAGGGTCACTGGTGGGGAGCTCACAGACCCTGTCCCAGCCTCTGGAAATGCCCCAGGAGCTCCCCTCACCCCTCCCACGGCTCAGCCCAGCCCCTGGAGATGCTGCAGCAGTGCCAGCCCCAGGGGATGCCCCAGGGAGCCCCAGCAGTGCCCATGGCCACACTTACACCGTGGAGCTCTGGTAGTTCTTCACAGGCAGCCCCTGCTCCGTCCTCACCAGCCTCTGGAAGGTGATCCCTGGGGAGGGAGCAGAGCAGTGAGGCACAGAACCCCTGCAGGATGCCCTGCCTCTGCCCCAGGGCACTGCTGAGCTGGCAGAGCCCCTGCCTGGAGCAGGAACAGGAACAGCAGCACCGAGAGTCCCCATGGGGACACGGCACAGCCTCTGTGTGAGGGACCAGTGCAGGGGCAAGGGAACCCAGGGTGTGAAGGGTAAAACCCAGACAGCAGCTGAGCATCAGGGGACACACCCTGAAAAAAAAACCAACCCCAGCCCTGCCCCGGCCCCAGCCCTGCCCCGGGGTTTGTCCCCTGCTGCTCCTGTCCCACTCCCCCCTCGCCTCCTGAGCCTGGGAGCGCACTGTCCATCCCAAAGCTCAGCTTCTCCAGGGGTCAGGACCCTGCTCCCCTCCTCAGGATGGTGCTCCCGGGTGGTCCAGCACAAGGTGGGCCCGTTCCTCTGGAGGAGCAGGACAGGCTGCTGGTTTGGTGTGTGCAAGGAGCATGCCCAGCTGTCATCAGTGTAATTAGCCACATGGCTAACGATGTCCTGGCTGGGTTTCTGGAGGGTCCTTCGCCCCCAGAGCCTGTGCTGCTCCCCCAGGCTGCCCTTTGTGTGAGGGACAGGGGGGGACGGCAGCAGGGCTATTCAGGGTGGCTGGAGCCTCCGAGGCTGCTCTTCCACGGGGATTTGCACAGGGCTGAGGCACTCCCTGCATTGTTCTATCCTGCCCAGACACCCCTTGTGACCCAGCTCTGGGCAGGGCACGGGCAGCACCAGTGCTCCTCTTAATTAAGGGCTCCTTGTGGATGTCCTGTGGTTCCCAGTGGAGCAGCTCTTCCAATTATTTCTCAAAGCCTTCTTGCCTGATCCCCCTGCCTTTTGAAGGGCTGTTATCACACAGAGCACATTGCAGCCCTGTTTAATCCTGGGCAGTCTTTGGGAGGCCTGGCAGGGGATGTGTGCCTGTGGCTGGGGGTATTCCCACCCCTCAAACTGGGAAGGTGCTCTGGGGGCCCTGGGGGTGGGAAATGCAGGGTCTCTGTCAGGGCAGCAGCTCCTGTGAGATGGGAGTTTGGGGAGGGGATTAAAGGTGCTTCCAAAGGAACAAAAAGATTAAAAAATCCCAACCTAGACTGGCTGCTTGACCCCCAGCACAGCTGGCCATGGCCACCAGGCAGGGTCTGGCTGTGTCCAGCCTTGTCTCAGAGCTGCAGGGCCACAGGGACACGGGGACACCTGTGGGGCTGTGCCCAGGCCAGGGCTGAGCTTTGCCCACCTCTGGAGGGCTCTGGTGCCAGGTGGGGGTTGCTGTCCCCTTCCTGTGCCACCCCCAGTGCCCCAGTGCCCTGAGTGGGGACCTTGTCAGGGGATGCCCTCCCCTCCCTGCACAGTGTGTTTGCTCCCTGCCAGGGGTGCTGCATGGCAGGGCTGCCTTAGGAGCCCTCAGTGAGGTGTGTGCCCCCTGCTCAGCTGCCAGGACCTTCCAGCCTGTTCCAGCCTTGCCTCACATCCCCCTGACCCGCTGGGGACCAAGGGCAAAGCTCTTTATTGTGATGAGGGCAAAGATTAACAGAGGATGAGCCGCTGTCAATATTTGCCAGGAGCACAGAGGCTTTGACCTGCACCCTGGGCTGGTGGCCCTGCAGGAGGGTCAGTGCTGTGTGATGTGTGGGGGTCGGGGTGGTTCCTCCCGTGCCTGCTGGGCTGGGGGATGTGGCTCCCTGCAGAGATAAGGGCTGCATCCTGCTGATGCCATAAGGGCTCCTGTCCTGCTGAGGGGGTGACAGGGCTCTGCTGATGTCACCCGGTGTCCCGGGCTGTGGCTGCCCACAGCAGCCTGTCCTGCATCAGAGTGGGCTCTGTCCCTGCAGGAGGGGAGGTGGCAGTGACCTGCTGGCCCTGTGTGACAGTCTGGGGGCTGGGGCAGGTGGGAGCAGGTGGCAAATGCCATCCTGGAGTCCCCATCCCATACGGGCAGTGGAGCAGCAGGGGCTGGGGCTGGGGCAGCTCTCCTGCCCCATCCTGTAGGGCAGGGCTGGGTTTGGTGCTGGATTTGGTGCTGGGGCAGGGCTGGGGTTGGTGCTGGGGCAGGGGTAGGTTCGGTGCCAGTTTTGGAGCTGCCAGGGCTGGGTTGGGTGCTGGGTTTGATGCCATGTTTGGAGCTGGCAGACCCCGGTTCGGCGCTGGCAGAGCCCAGGGCAGGGCGGGGCGCTCACCTGGCGCCTTGAGCTCGTTGCTGATGAAGGTGAGCAGCTCCCGGGAGGTGTCGCAGTAGGGCACGGGCCAGGTCAGGAAGCCGTGGTAGACACTGGCGGCTTTCAGCAGCAGCTCAGAGCCGGGGGGGAGGTGAGGAGCCTGCGGGAAAGGGACGGGACAGGGGTGAGGGCAGAGACACCCCGCGTGCTGCTCCAGGCTTTGGGCTGGCAGAGGCAGGAGGAGAAGCAGAGCAGAGGGTGCCCTGTGCCTCCGCACCTCCTGCCAAGGACGGGCACAGGATCCCCGGCCGCAGCTCCAAGGAGCTCCTTCCCCACCGCCCCAAGCCGGGCTCACGTGCCCAAGCCTAAATATAAATTCCTTTTTAAGCCCCACAAGCCGCACAGATGAATTCCACACAGGCTGTGCTTGTGCAGGACCTGGCAGCAATGACTTCCTTGGGATAATGATGCATTGTGCTGGGAATAATAATCATAAAAAACAGTATTTCCTGGGAAGGCTCTGCTCCTTTTCATTCACGTTGCCCGTGTGTTTTGCCCAGCTATAAAGGGTAAAGAAAAGAATTCCCCTTTATTGTCCATCTCCCTTTCTGATTAGCCCAGCCTTAAAAAAACAGCTTCCAAACCCCTGAAGCTCATTGTCTCTCAGCTTGTGCAATGGTTGCTCGATCCTGATCCCTCTGGATTCATACAGACCCTTTCTTTTGGGAGGAACTGATGAGAGCAGGCTGGGAAGGTCCAGCCAAAGCCCCCCTGATTTTGGAGCCTGCCCCGGGCTGGGACGGGTGCAGCAGCCTCAGCACTTACACAGAGCACGGCCGAGTAGAAGAGCAGGGCCAGGGGCGTCACCAGGTCGTAGTCACACCTGTCCTGCACCTGCGGGAACAGCCCGAGGGCACAGGGATGAGCTATGGCCACCAGCACCGCCCAAAATGTCACTGGAGGTGCCGGGAGACTCCAGCCCTGCCATCCCATCACCACACCCAGAAGATTCCCTCATCCCTGTGGGAAAACCGCCCCCAAAGCCCCAGAAACCAGAGTGAGACAGGCAGAGCCTCCTGCTCTGTCTTCTCCTGGCCAGGCACCCAACCCTCTGGGGTTCCTGATGCCTGAAATTCCATGGAAGTGGCTCTGAGCAGGCAGTCCAGGCACTGCAGGCAGACTGGGGAGCTGGGCAGGATGGAGGAATCCAGGGGTGGAATCCGGGGGTGGAATCCAGGGGTGGAATCAATGCAGGGGTGGAATCAGTCCAGGGGGTGCAATCCATCCAGCGGTGATGCCCAACAATATGTAATGACCCCAATCCCCAGGCAGCTTTGCCCAAGCCCATCCTGAGCAAGCCACGGAGCTGCCGGTGCCTCAGAGCCCACGGCTCCCCCACCAGCCCCCGCTCACCTCCTTGGTCTTGCCCAGGATCTTCTCCACCAGGATGAGGTAGTTACCAGCGTCCCGGCTCACCAGCTCCTGCAGGCTCCAGCAGTTCAGGCACAGCCCGGCTGTGGGGACAGAGGCACGGACACCCATATTCCCACGGTCACTCATGGCCCCGTGGTCACTCACAGAGGCACGGTCACTCCCAGAGCCACGGTCACTCATGGCCCCATGGTCATTCACAGAACCATGGTCACTCGTGGCCCCATGGTCACTCACAGAGGCACGGTCACTCCCAGCGCAGATGTGGGGATAGAGCCACAGTCACTCCCAGCCCCACGGTCACTCATGACCCCATGGTCACTCCCGGAGTCATGGTCACTCCCAGAGCCCAGAGCCATGGTCACTCCCGGCCCCAGCCAGCAGCACAGGCAGCCCAGGGCACACCCTGTCCCCACCTGGGGCTGGGGCAAAGGCAGAACTAAGCTGGGCTTAATCCAGGGCACACGGCAATGCCCAGAGCAGGCACGGCACATGGCAGCACCGAGAGTGGGCACAGCACATGGCAGTGCCAAGTGGCACATGGCAATGCCAAAAGGCACACGGCAGGCACAGCACACAGCAGTGCCAAGAGTGGGCACACGGCAGTGCCAAGAATGGGCACAGCACACAGCAGCACCGTGGGCGGCCTCGGAAGGATGAGTCTTTGCCATTTCTGTTCTGAGAAGTGCCCCGAGTGCCCTCTTCCTCCCCCGTCTCCCAGAGCAGCTCCTTCCTGGCCCAGGGGGTGGCATTTCCCCTCAGAGCGGGCACTGGGCAGGTTGGAAATCCAGAAGCACCAAAGCAGAAATGGCACACCCTGAGCTGCCCTCACCCACGGTGCTGGGCACAGGCCCTGGTGCCCTCACAAGTGACACCCACGGCGTAGGGGGAAAGCAGAAGGCTCAGTTTCCTCCTCCCCCAGAGCCACTGGCACCATCTCCTCATCAGAGGGAGGTGGTTTCTCCTGGGGACTGCCCCAAGGAAGGGCCAGCTCGGGGCAGCTGGGTCAGGGAGGTGCCCAAGGACTGGCACAGCCTCAGCACTCCTTGGGGAGGGCAGCAAGGCAGCCTGCAGCTGCTGAGACACAGGAGGTGAACATGAATGTCCAGCACAGGGCACCCCCTGGCACTGCCACCCAGCCTGGGCAGAGATTTCCACAGGAAAACCCAGTACAAACCAGGAGAAATCATCAAAGGGTAAAATCTGCCAGGTCCCCAGCACCACCAGAGCCAAGCCCAGGGCTCTGCTTCACCAAAAACTCCTTTTTTTGTTTTTTTTTTCTGCTCACCAGCAAGCAATCAAACATTTTTCTTGCTCTTCACACTCTAATTTGACCATGGTGTCTCCTGCAGCACAAAGCAAGGCCAGCCCTGAAGAGGTTCCTCCACAAGGAAAAGGTTTTGCTCCCAAGGACTTTTCTAACGGGGATTTTCATGAGTCACACACGATTCATTTTTATTTGGTTTCTGCAATAAGTTCTGCAGAAAGATCTTCTGTTCACACCATCCACGGGCTCATCCAGGCTGTAAATCTGGGATGGCCAAAGCTTCACAACTCTCCTTGCTGACTTCACAGCCCTCAGCTCCTCACCCCTTACTCAGGGGGAACGACATGTTGGAAACAATTACTCACCCTCTCTGGAGCAACCTTGTGCGAAAGTTAGCACAGAAAAATAAAGCTTTAAGTGATTTACAAAATTCAGCAAGATCTCAGCCAGAAAGCTGTGACATCATGTGTGTTATTTTGGTGGATGGAAAGGGTAAAAAAAGAGGGGAAAGCAAAGGAAGTGGGAAATAGAAGTGAGAAATGAGGAAGGTGAAGGTTCCAGCCCAGCCAAGAGCAAGATTAAAGGATTCACTGACTTGTGAGGATCAACCCTGCCACAAACTACGGCCTGGACAGGACAGCAATAATGAAACTGTCATTTGTAGCTTGGGGAAGGATGTGACAGCATCTCTGGCCTGGCTCTGGAAGGCAACAGGGGACAGCTCTGGGCTGAGGGCTCTGCTCTCTGCTTCCCCTGAACCCTTCCTGCCAGCAGGGACCAAACCCTTCAGCCCTGCATGCTGGGATGGGACAGCAGCTCCTCGGGGGCAGCAGGGACAGGGACGGGCAGCCCCTCAGGAGGGATCTGGGGGGTCCTGGGGGTCCCCAAGCAGCAGCACCAGGGCTGGGGCACAGCAGAACCACCAACACCCATCCAGGGCATGCTGCAGGTTCCTGGCAGAGCAGGAACGATGAGAGGGAAGTTTCTGAGGTGTAAAATGTCCAAAATTCTCCCAGGAATGTCAGCTCCTTCTGCAAAAGCCAGGAGAGGCACAGGAAGGGCCTGGGAGCCAGGGGACATCACTAGGGTGGGATTCACGGGGAGTCAGCACAGCTGCCCCCAGCACAGCTCCCAGCCCCAACCTCTGCCCTGCACACCCCAAACTTTGCTGATGAGCTGCAGAAACAATGGAGGGGAGGGACTGGGGTTGGAGCTGTGAGTGACACAGGAGCTGACTGATGTAATCACAGCAGAGGTGGGCTCTGGGCACACACTGCCCTGCTCTGGGCACACACTGCCCTGCTCCATGGGCACACGCTGCCCTGCTCCATGGGCACACGCTGCCCTGCTCTGGGCACACACTGCCCTGCTCTGGGGGCACACACTGCCCTGCTCTGGGGGCACACACTGCCCTGCTCCATGGGCACACACTGCCCTGCTCCTGGCACACACTGCCCTGCTCCATGGGCACACGCTGCCCTGCTCTGAGGGCACACACTGCCCTGCTCCATGGGCACACACTGCCCTGCTCTGGGGGCACACACTGCCCTGCTCCAGGGGCACACACTGCCCTGCTCCGGGGGCACACACTGCCCTGCTCCGGGGGCACACACTGCCCTGCTCTGAGGGCACACGCTGCCCTGCTCCATGGGCACACGCTGCCCTGCTCTGGGCACACGCTGCCCTGCTCCATGGGCACACGCTGCCCTGCTCCTGGCACACACTGCCCTGCTCCTGGCACACACTGCCCTGCTCCATGGGCACACGCTGCCCTGCTCTGAGGGCACACACTGCCCTGCTCCATGGGCACACACTGCCCTGCTCTGGGGGCACACACTGCCCTGCTCCAGGGGCACACACTGCCCTGCTCCGGGGGCACACACTGCCCTGCTCTGAGGGCACACGCTGCCCTGCTCCATGGGCACACGCTGCCCTGCTCTGGGCACACACTGCCCTGCTCCATGGGCACACGCTGCCCTGCTCCATGGGCACACACTGCCCTGCTCCATGGGCACACACTGCCCTGCTCCATGGGCACACGCTGCCCTGCTTTGGGGGCACACACTGCCCTGCTCTGGGCACACGCTGCCCTGCTCCATGGGCACACACTGCCCTGCTCCGGGGGCACACACTGCCCTGCTCCGGGGGCACACACTGCCCTGCTCCCTCGGCACACACTGCCCTGCTCCATGGGCACACACTGCCCTGCTTTGGGGGCACACACTGCCCTGCTCTGAGGGCACACACTGCCCTGCTCTGGGCACACACTGCCCTGCTCCATGGGCACACACTGCCCTGCTCTGGGCACACACTGCCCTGCTCCATGGGCACACACTGCCCTGCTCTGGGCACACACTGCCCTGCTCTGGGGGCACACAGGGCTGCTCTGAGGGCACATAGGGTTGCTCTGGCCATGCTCTGTCACCGTGCCAAGCACGAGGCTGTGCTTCCAGGAACCAGCAATGTGGGTCACACTGCAGGGCCTGCCTCCCAGAGCAGGGGAAAGACAAGGACACAGGAATCTTGTGCAGAACTGCCCCAACCCAGTCCCCAGCTGATGCTGCAGCATGGAAGTGCCAAGGCTCCAGTGGCTGTGAGAGGTGGCAAAGGGATTCCTCTGGGAGCAGGCAGCAGGTAGGATCCTGTCTGCACCTCTTTGTTGGTCTTGTAGGGGAAAAGAAAAGTAGAAAGGGTTGAAAGAACTTCACAGACAAGAAGGAATCAGAATCTGACAGCCCCCAGATTTCATCCACGAGAGGGTTTGGCAGTGATTTTATCACAGCTCACGGACAGCTATGAGGCAGAAAGGTCAGAATGACTTTCAGGAATTATTTCTGCTCGTTGCTGCTCTGCCCTCACCACACCAGCCCAAATCCCTTCACAGCCCCCTGAGCAAGGCTCAGCTCTTTATAGGCACCACCATCACAGTATCTGAGCCAGGGCTGGGCTGATAACAACATCCCTATGTTGATAACAACATCCCCCGTGCTGTGTGTGACAATGCAGCACAATCACAGCCCTGCCTTGGGGGCAGCAGCACCGGCAGGGCTGGCTGATTGCACAGAGGAGCATTCCTGGGCTGGACAAAGCCCTATCCTCTGCCCAGCTCACTCAGGGACAGCTGACACCCCACACCACTGTCCTGCTCATCCTTACATGGCCAGATCTGTTCAGGGCCCTGGAACACCCTCCTGTTCCAGCAAAATGCCCAGGAGCACTGGCCAGGCTGGATGCCACCTCTGACTGACCACTGGGAGGGGAAAGGCCTCCAGCAGCTCCCTGTGACCCAGAGAGAGCCCTGGGTGAGACCCCAGCAGGGACAGCACCAGCAGGGACAGCACCAGCAGGGACAGCACCAGCAGGGACAGCACCAGCAGCTCCCCTAACCCAGAGCCCTGGGTGAGACACCCCAGCAGGAGCCCAGGGGACCCCAGAGAGGGAAGGCCATGGTTGGCCATGGTTAAGGTTCACCTACCAGCCCATCTGCTGGCCACAGCGTCCCTGCCCAGCCCATGCAGGCACCGCTCCAGCGCGTGGTGGATCCTGTCCTCTGTGCACGTGGTATGCTGCATTTTAACTCATCTCCTGCATTGAGGGGGAAAGAAGGAGGAGAGTTAATAAAGGGCTGCCCTCAGTGGCTCCAGTGGTCACTGGCCATGGTCACAAACCCACCCCAAGTGGCAGGGAAGGCCCCAGAGCTGTCCCCTTGCTGTCACACAGCCACCGTGAAGGAAATTCCACGTGCCCTTGAGGCAACGGTGGAAAACACCAAGGGGATGTGAGCCCAGCACAGAGGACATTGTGAAATTGTGCCTGCAGCCCTGCCACATCCCACCCCTGCTCTGGGGCCCTTGGCTTGCAGAGCCTGTGCTGCCCAGGAAGGTTTATCCCAGCCAATCCCCATCGTGTCTGGGACACCAGGAGCAGTACAGGGGATGCTCCTGACCTGAGCAATCAGAGGTGCCCAGGTGGCCATTCCCTCTTGCCCTGCAGCCCAGAGGGACCCTGAGGCAGCTGTCCCCCTCTCCCAAGGCACTGAGATGGATCCAGCCCACACATTCTCTGCCTCTTGTTTAGAAGCAACACAAATGCACAAAAATAATCGAGCAAGAAGAAATAAAAGCTGTGAGTGCTAAAAAACCACCTGCAAGGCAGCCCTTGCTTTGAGCCTGGACAGCACCCATGCCACACAGCCACGTCATTCCCAGAGAAGCTAAAACACTCAATTCTCCCATTTGGCCAGAATTTGGGGCCAGCACCCAGCAGTGGCTGTGCCCACCACAGCCCCACCCAGCCTGTCCCAGAGCCACTGTGACCTGGCAGAGGCTCCAGAGCCCTCCCTGCCCCATGTCTCCAGCACGGCCATCTCCACCCAGCCTCCATTGCCAGCAGCTCCCTGGAAGGGCTCAGCTGAGCCTGGCTGCTGGAGCTCACTGAGAATGCAGGGAGCCACCTCCAGCCCTGCCCCAGAGAGGAGCCACCAGCAGCTCCCCAGAGGTGACAGCAAACACCCCAAGCACCCCTGACCTGCCCAGTACCCACACTCCCCTCACCCCAGAGGGGCTGCTGGGCTCCTCCTCGCTGCCAGAGGCTGAGCTGGGCCCTGCAGCAGATCCTTTACCTGTGCCCAGTGCCAGGAGCACCAAGGAGCGCCACAGCGCGAGGGAGCACAGAGAGCGAGCCCAGCCCTCGGCCAGGCTGGAGGCAGGAGAAAGGCAGTGAGTAAGAGCCCAGGGTGACTCACAGACACCCCTACACCAGCCAGCTCAAAACCCAGCTCAGTCCTCAGGGGGAACGGGCTCCTCACCCCGCACCAACCCCAGCATCCCTTCCTGCCTGCTTTGGCACACAACGGGAGGGAATGAGAGATAAAACCCACCCTGATATTGCTGTCACTGTCAAACCACAGAATGCAATCTTCCTGCTGTGCCATGGACCACACAGGAGCCTGAGCCTCCTCCCAGGGCAGTGCTTATGGAAGCACTTCCCGTGGGAAAGGCCTAGCTTCAGCCACCACAACGGAGCAGAAACTTCCCTGCTGTCCCCTCCTTGCCACCCACGCTGAGCACGGTGACAGGGGACAGCTCTGGAGAACACAATCTGACTTTCAGGAGCCCTGTTAAGCATCTTAACACGAAGAAAAACAAGTGCTGAGGTCAAGGCTTTGGAAAATGCTTTGCTTTTTGTGAGGGTGTTGAGCAGCTCCACGTGGCACCACCCCAGGGATGGCCCAGCCCTCTCCATACAGCAGGGACAGCACCTGGGTTTAAGAGCTCCAAGTCCTCAGAGAAACCCACCTGCCCCAAGGTTTTGCCCCATTGTCAGCAGATGCCAAACAATTCCCAGCATCAGGGCTCAGGGCAAGGCTGAACCCATCCCCCCTGAAGGTGTGAGCATCCTAAAGGGTAATTTATAATAATTAATTATTATTAAATATTTATTTTTTAAATTATTAGTTATTATAATGAATTTCTAACAAATTACTTTCTTAAAAACCACTTTTTAAAGTGAGTGAGAGAAGGCCCAGCACACCAAAGCTCAGCTTGGGAAGTATCCCAAGATTATCTGTGAAGCTGTCCTTGCATGGGTGCCAGACCCTTGGGGAATTTTCAGCCAGGATTGCTTGGTTAAGAGGCTTCATTCATCTCTGTGGGACACAAAGGTGAGCAGACAAATTAAATATTTCTGTTAATTAACACCAACCGAGTAAGCATTTACCCTGTGGTGGGAAGTGGGAACCTGCTGACCTACTGGTTTTAGATTTTCCCTTGTCCTGCTTGAGGCAACGAATTTGTAAAAATGAAAAAAAAAATAGTTTTGAAACAGCATGAGAAAGAATTATCAACAAAACCCATCTTTTGCTGCTGAGCTGTGAAGCCACCAGAGGTCACGGGAAAGCCTTGGGGCATCACAGCTCCCTGATGAGGACTTTCCACTCAGCTGGGACCCGCTGGGGTTCCCCACTTGCCTCCACACCCTGGGACCTTTCCAGGGCTTTCCTGGTGCTCAGGATCTGCTCAGGATCTGCTCCATGCCCAACAGCAGACGGTCCCTTGGGAGCCAAGGTGACACCAGCAGCTCTGCAGGGCTGGGACAGGGCACAGAGCTGCCTTTCCAGCAAGGACAATCCCTTCTCTTGGGTTGGGGTCCACCTGAGCCCCATCTCCAACACCCAGGGGACTCTTCTGAGCTCCATCTGCAGTGGTGGAGCCCAGGACCAGGGGGAAGAGCTCAAAGAGCCAAAATGAAGCAGTGGAGAGGATCAGACCCCCTTGCAGGACCCCTCTCACCCCCCAGCAGAGCAATCCCCGGAGCCTGGGGCCTCCACCAGCCCAGGAAAAGGCTCCAAGGGCAGGAGAACGGGGCCAGGTACACACGGGGTGAGCTGAGATCTTGAGATCCCAGAAACATCTCCTCGGACAGAAAGGATCTGCCAAGGACCTGCCCAGGACCTTCCAGAGGGGATCCTACAGCTCCACCGGCACCTGGAAACCCGCAGGTACCCTCGGGCCGGGACAACGCCCTTTCCTGCCCCAATTGTTCTGGGGCTGAGCATCCTGGGCAGGAAATGGGAGAGGAAAAACAAAGCCCTTGGGCCGGGGGAGCAGCTCTGAGCGCACTGCACAAGTTTGGGGACAGTGGCAGCGGGTGCAGGGACACAGACCCCTCCCCTGGGTGGGTGCCAGGACGTGGCTCAGCAGCCAGAGGGGTTTGGGCACCAGGGGAACCAGAACAAGGAGCTCGATGACGCTGAAGGAAGCAGGAGCTTGGGCTGATGCTGCAGAAGGAAAATAATTTGGTCTAAAGCAAAGGGATCCTACCCAGAGCTGTTTTCAAGGTGAGATCCTCAGAAAAGAGGATCATTGACTCCTCTGAGCTCCACCTCAGCTCTCTGCCTCCTTCAGCTCATCCTGCGGGGAAAGAACAGGAGCTCTGGGAGATCCCCACTGCAGAGGAAGGGCTGGACACCGAGCTGGGCCCCAGACACGGAGATGTGCCCCAGACACCGAGCCGGGCCCTGGACACTGAGCCGGGCCCCTGGACACCGAGCCAGGCCCTGGACACCGAGCCGGGCCCTGGACACTGAGCCGGGCCCTGGACACCGAGCCGGGCCCAGCAGTGCAGCTGCACGTGCCTGGTGCCTGCTCCTCCAGTGAAACTGTTTTTCTTAGATTACAGAAGAAAACCTTGGGTTTCAGCTGTTTGCTTGCAGGGTTTTGCTGCCTGCCCTCCACCTCGCAGAGCAGCCACAGATAGAAAGCCGAAGCGAGGGAGGGAGGGAGCAGCTGGAGGAAGCCTTTGTGGGGCACGGGGCAGTGCGGGGAGAAAGCTGCGATTTTCAAGAAAAGCTTCACCTCAGTGTTTGTCAGCGAGCGAGAGCGCTGCATGCAGCAGGAGATGAGGCTGATAAGATGCTCACTCAAACCACAGCAAGGCAGGGTACCAGGGGATCCGGGAGGCAGCTGGGGTGACAAACATCCTCCCAGGGTGCCTGCAGAGGAGGCTGTGCCAGCCAAGGCCCAGCTCAAACAGGGCTGGGGCACAGGCTGCTGTGACACTGAGGGTGAGCACACACAGCAGGGACCTGAGGGACATTCAGTGCTGGGCTGTGAACCCTCACTCCAGCGAGTCCCCACTCCCTGAGCCAACGGAGGCAGAGGCAGCAGAGGAGGAACACAGAGAATCGCTCCCCAAGAGCTCCTGAGGCAGTGATTTCATCTCAAAGCAGAAGATAAAACTCCTGGCATAAGAAGAAAATCTACTTCTGGAATAACGAAAGTGTCTGTGCCTGCAGGATAATGGTACTGAAGGGCAGGAATGACATGGGACATCCCACTGCTCACAGGAGGAAACAAATCCTGAGTTATGAGTGGGAGAGAAATGGTGTTTTGGGAAGAGGAGAGGTACCAGCCTTGGGAGAAAGAACAGGAGCAAGCCTTGCCCACGCCGCCTTTCTGAACTGCAACGCCTCATTTACAGCAGAGATGTGAGAACTGGGGAGCTCTCAGAGAGCCCCAACTGCAGAGCTGCCCCAGAGCCAGAGATCAGCGCTCTCTGTCTCTGAGAGCTGGGCTGCAGGAGAGGCTCCCACCGCGGACCAGGGAAAGCACCTAACGTGCAAAGCGGTTTCGGAGTGCTCCGAGTGTCAAACAGCACTCACAGAACGAGTGTCAAACAGCACTTACAGAACGTGACACAACAGGGGCACAGCAGCACGGGTGTCACACCCAGGGCTGGCTCCCTGCTCCCCCTGTACCAACAGCAGGGTTTTACACCCAGGGCTGGCTGTGTGCTCCCCCTGTACCAGCAGCAGGATTTTACACCCAGGGCTCGCTGCCTGCTCCCCCCTGTGCCAGCAGCATCACCCAGCATCCTGTAACCCCAAGCAACAGCACCCAGCAAGCCCCAAATCCCCAGCAGGGCAGGGCTGACCCTGCTGTGGGACCCGCAGGGAGCAGAGGAGAAGCTCAGGCCCAGGCCCAGCCCCAGCCCACAGAGGCAGCGCTGTGCCCGCTCAGCACCCGCGGTTTCATCGCCGGCCCCTCCCGGCCCCGGGATCGGAGCAGGAAACCCACAGGGGGCTC